AGCTGACTGTGTGGGTGACCTGTACTCTTTTCCGTGGCATCTCCCATCAGTGTTTTCTCTCATCTCTCACCAAAGGGATCTTGGTCTACTCAGCGGCGAGGATCTTTTTTGTCTGTGGGTACAGTAAATACAGTCAGATGTTTTAGTTTTTTAGAACTCGATTGTGAATAAAGATGCTGCTAGTTATGACACAGAAACAGATTTAACGTCAATGTGCTTGCTGCTAAACTGACGGGTTTGCCAAGAAAGTGATAATGTTGTTTTCTCTCTCTGACAGTTTGGCTGAAATGTTAAGGGTCTCACACACATTGCACTGAATGTAGATCTCCTGTTCGTCTATCGATCGCTCAGCGCACTGTTGATGTCTGTCTGACTGGCGATATCTTCAGGCGATTCTACGTGTAAAATCGTTTTGTACTCGGTCTCGGCAGGCAAACGCTATTGGTATGTTCAAGCCATTAAGGACGTGTTCCAGAAAAATAAGTATCATTCATTCCAACTCTGTTGAATTAGCCATCATAGTGGAATGTATTGACAGTGTTGACATATAGTGCACCATTCTGGCAAGGCATTAATTTAAACTTTTACCTGACGTCTGTCGCATTACAATCACATTGATTTCTAATTAAAAAGAGCATGTAGTGACTTAATAAGCCAAGCAAGGCTCTGTGTACTCATCATTTAGTAGGCTAAATATCCAGGGTATAAATGTCTTTATTTTCACATAATAGTACCCTATATTTGTCTCAAGTTATTGGAATGGTGTGAATAATACACATTGTTCTGAAAAAATAGTAATTAACAAAGTACTTCATTGGTGCACATTTCAAAGCGAGTCGCCTGTTGAATTCCTTTTGATTAGCAAAGCATTCAAGCCTTGTTAATTAGGGAAAGATGAAATAGAACAAAAGCCAAACAACTGCGAACTGTTACCAAGGATGTATTTCATTCTGAAAACAAATCCCGGTTTCTTTCTTTCTTGAATCAATCCTACAGGTTAACTGTTAGACAGTAACACTTGAGTCAACACCCACCCACACATCCCCCAACAGGCCACCCCAGCACAGCAAGCCAACCAATTACCTTGTTGATTCAATGAGCAAACCCACCATATCATTATTATTTTGTTTTATACTGAACAAAAATATAAACGCAACATTCAAAGTGTTGGTCCCATGTTTCATGTGCTGAAATAAAATATCCCAAAAATTTCCATATGCACAAAAAGCTTATTTCTCTCAAATGTTGTGCAGAAATGTGTTTACATCCCTGTTAGTGAGCGTTTCTCCTTTGCCAAGATAATCCATCCATCTGACAGGTGTGGCATATCAAGAAGCTGATTAAACAGCATGATCATTACACAAGTGCACCTTGAGTTGGGGACAATCAAAGGTCAATCTAAAATGTGCAGTTTTGTCACAATACAATGCCACAGATATCTGAAGTTGAGGGAGCGCACAATTGTAATGCTGACTGCAGGAATGTCCACCAGAGCTGTTGCCAGAAAATTGAATGTTCATTTCTCTACTATTAGCCACCCCAATGTCGTTTTAGAGAATTTGGCAGTACGTCCAACCGGCCTCACAACCGCAGACCACGTTTAACCACGCCAGCCCAGGACCTCCACATCCGCCTTCTTCTCCTGAGGGATCGTCTGAGGCCAGCCACCCAGACAGCTGATGAAACTGAGGAGTATTTCTGTCTGTAATAAAGCCCTTTTGTGGGGGGAAAACTCATTCTGATTGGCTGGGCCTGGCTCCCAAGTGGGTGGGCCTATGCCCTCCCAAGCCCACCCATGGCTGCGCCCCTGCCCAGTCATGTGAAATCCATAGATTAGGGCCCAATGAATTTATTTCAAATTACTGATTTCCTTATATGAACTAACTCAGTAGAATCATTGAAATTGTTGCATGTTGCGCTAATAGTTTTGTTCAGTATAGTAGTTCTTGAAGAGACTGAGCCGTTTAAGAAAGGGTACAGTTGAAGTTAAAATGACTGACTGCACTTGGTGACCCTCCCCTCAATTACAGACAGTGAAATGTGAAGTTATTACGCTGAAGTGATGTCTCCCGAGTGGCGCAGTGGTCCAAGGCACTGCATTGCAGTGCTAGCTGTGCCACTAGAGATCCTGGTTCGAATCCAGGCTCTGTCGTAGCCGGCCGCGACCGGGAGACCCATGGGGTGGCGCACAATTGGCCCAGCATCGTCCAGGGTAGGGGAGGGAATGGCCGGCTGTAGCTCAGTTGGAAACTAGAACATGGCGTTTGCAATGCCAGGGTTGTGGGTTCGATTCCCACGGGGGGCCAGTATGAAAAATAAATAAAAATAATGTACTCACTAACTGTAAGTCGCTCTGGATAAGAGCGTCTGCTAAATGACTAAAATGTAATGTAAAATGTGTTCAGACATGCCATCAGCCAACGTCAGAGACAGCGTTTTGTCAGGGACGTGTTTATGACCATTTCCATGTCTGTGTCCCAAATGGCACCCTATTGCCTATGTAGTGTACTACTTTTCATGGGCTCTGGTCAAAAGTAGTGCACTACATAGGCAATAGGGTGCCACTTGGGAAGCATTCCATGACAGTTCTCTGCCAATGAAGTCTTTGTGTTTCCACATCACCTGGGAGTTTGGTGCACTTGTAACCTGAGCTAACGTTTCAGTCAAGTTTACTAATTTGACTCTCAGAAGTTGTGACCTTTCCTACTCTTGGTGAAATTAAATTAAACGCAAGGGAGGATTAGCAGACAGAGGAAGAGGAAGGGAGTGTTCCACTGTGGTGGTGTGATGTTTCTATAGTTATTATGAGGGTCACACTTACTGTCAAATAAATGGGGGAAAAATGGACGGTCATATAAGGCTTAATTTACATTTAGCAGACACTCCAGGTAGCTAGGTAGGACAACCACATATCTCAGTCATCGTAAGTCAAACTTAAAGGCGCTCAGCAAAGTCAGTGCTAGTAAAGAAATGACAAGTGTAAGAAACAACTAATCTACACTTTCGTAAAGCTACATAAGTGACATAACACTACATAAGGCTGTCATAACACTTCCTACCATTGTCGTAAGCATCAACTCAGAGGTGAAGAGCATATCAATATATTTATATCCGGTCAAGCAGTAGGGGTGGTATTATTCACTGACAAAATCTATTATTCAGTTATTCTCTGTACAACTTTGTAGGTGTGGTTGTGTGTGTTGCGATTTAGTGGCTGCATCATAGAGTTAGTGCAAGATATGTGAATGCCATTACAAAGTTCATGTTTAGAATACATTAGTGAAAGGGATTATTCAGTACTACTCTGTTTAAAGTATAGTTTCTCTCTACTTAGTGTGTAGGTTATGGCATCATGGTCAGGTTGTTATTGTAAAAGAGAGTGTGTTCTCAATGACTAACCTGGTTAAATAAAGGTTACATCAAATCATAGCAATATGTGTTGCTGGTGTTTTTCTTAGTATAGGTAGGCCTAATATGTGATATGTAATTATCATTACAAAGTTCAGCTTTATAATCAACTAGCCCCTTCAGTTTCCAGCTGGTTACGTCTCAGATGGTTGGTTTCTCTTCCTCCTCTGCCGCCCACTCTGGAAATCTTTGAGAAAATAACCTTTTGTTTGAAACTGGGTAAACATATTTACCTTCTGCATTTTATTGCCCTCCAATAGATCCTCGTTAAAGGGTTTTTGGAGGGGTTATGAAAGACTCATGGGGTGTCCACTGAAAGTTGACTAGCAACAACAACTGGAACCTAAAAGGCACCCACCAAGAGCACCCACTAAATTTGCCCAAGAAGAGGCAAACAAAATTAAAACCAACACCAAACTTAAAAACAGGAGGCAAACCAAAAATGTGGCGCAAAACAATAACAGGGCAGATCAGACAAATTAACGTTTTCTAGAAATCAAATAGGGAGCACCAACTAAAGGTGTAAACCCTCCTTCTCTCAAGAGCACTGGGCCAGCCACTCTTATATAGCACCTGGGCCAGCACGGGTGAAACGCCTTCCTACTAACGACATGGCAACCAGCACAGGTGTAACACATACTGACTAATGAGGTGACACCAATCTGTGCGCCCTACATGCTAATGTACTATACGTGCTAAAAGTCCAACCTAAAAAGAAAATGGAAAAAACAAAACCTGTAACATCCTAAGGGCTATTAAACTGAACGTCTGCGTTAATAATAATCGTGTTTGGAATCCATGCTCAATAATTATACTAGATTCTATTATTCTAAATGTATTATAAAGATAGGTTTTAATTAAAAACACCAACACAAGACTATGTATGCGTCCCAAATGGCACCCTATTCCCTTGAAAGTGCACTGCTTTTGACCATAGCCCTGTGGGTAGTGTACTATTAAAAAAATAAAGGTGCACTATAGAGGGAATAGGGTGCCATTTGGGACACAGAGGAATAGGGTGCCATTTGGAACACAGATATTGTCTTGTGTAGGTGTTTTTAATTAATTCCTCCTCTTTAAATAAACACACATCTCACAATTGATCATTTTAATCGGTCAATTATTCTACAGTTAACAAACTGTGATTTATTATAAGCACAATGTACATGTTAAGATGTGCGTGCGGTTAATCATTTTCAAGAGGGAGGAGGGAGGGTCCACATGCTTCATCTGCAACATTAATTAAGCAAAGTCATTATGGCGCTAATTAGCTGATCCTAAAAGGATCTCGGTTTTATTGTAATTTATTATCAAAGTGACAGTCAGCTGCTTCCTTGAAATGAGGGCGGGATGTTCTCTCAGACTGAGAAGCCATATGTGCTGATATAGTTGGACATATCTATGTGACCGACTGGTCACTGTGCCACGTAGGCTACGTTAATCAAGGAGTGTTAAAACCATAGACATTATATGGTTAGAACCTTACTGATATCAGGTCAGGTCATAACACCAGCATCTGTGAAACCATTGCTGACAATTTATTTATTTTATTTTCACATGGTGGCTTGATTTGTTTGAAATGGTATCAAGTTATGGTCAGAGACATCTACAGTATGTGCACAATGTACTGTGTAATTCAAGAGAATTAGGCTTAGTTGAGTGTAGGAATGAAGTTTTTTACTGTGAGTCTTATTCCTGTATGACACTGGACTCTGAGGATGTTTAGGAATTTTGTTGAAATTGATGAGGCTGGGTTGTCTTGCAACTAGAAAATTAGTCAGTGAACTGTTGTTCCATTAGCAGCCTCGTCACCATACATTCGGATTGTTGTTAGCACTTTTCTTGTTTCTTTAAAGGTGCAATCTGCAATATTACAGCTATTTATGGTAATAGTGATAGCTATACACTGAGTGTACAAAACATTAGGAACACCTGTACTTTCCATGACATTTACATTTTAGTCATTTAGCAGACGCTCTTATCCAGAGCGACTTACAGTTAGTGAGTGCATACATTTTAATACTGGCCCCCCGTGGGAAACAAACCCACAACCCTGGCGTTGCAAGCGCCATGCTCTACCAACTGAGCTACAGGGGACTACCACATAAAATGACCAGCTGAATCAAGCTGAAAGCTATAATCCCTTATTGATGTCACTTGTTAAATCCACTTCAATCAGTGTAGATGAAGGGGAGGAGACAGGTTAAAGAAGGATTTTTAAGCCTTGTGACAATTGAGACATGGATTGTGTATGTGTGCCATACAGAGGGTGAATGTAGTATGCGCTCCAGCAGGTATATCTCACTGGTCATCCCCAAAGCCAACACCTCCTTTGGCTTCCATTCCTTCCAGTTCACTGCTGCCAATGACTGGAACGAAACTGCAAAAATCTCTGAAGCTGGAGACTCTTATCTCCCTCACTAACTTTAAGCATCAGTTGTCAGAGCACCTTACCGATCACTGCACCTGTACACAGCCCATCTGAAATTAGGCCACCCAACTACCTCATTCCCATATTGCTATTTCTTTTGCTCATTTGCACCCCAGTATCTCTATTTGCACATCATTTCTTGCACATATATAATTCCCGTGTTAATACTAATTGTAATTAGTATGTCAACATTCACAAGGCCGCAGGGCCAGACGGATTACCAGGACGTGTACTCCGAGCATGTGCTGACCAACTGGCAAGTGTCTTCACTGACATTTTCAACATGTCCCTGACTGAGTCTGTAATACTAACATGTTTCAAGCAGACCACCATAGTCCCCGTGCCCAAGGACACTAAGATAACCTGCCTAAATGACTACCGACCCGTAGCACTGACGTCTGTAGCCATGAAGTGCTTTGAAAGGCTGGTCATGGCTCACATCAACACCATTATCCCAGAAACTCTAGACCCACTCCAATTTGCATACCGCCCCAACAGATCCACAGATGATGCAATCTCTATTGCACTCCACACTGCCCTTTCCAACCTGGACAAGAGGAACAGCTACGTAAGAATGCTATTCATTGACTACAGCTCAGCATTCAACACCATAGTGCCCTCAAAGCTCATCACTAAGCTAAGGATCCTGGGACTAAACACCTCCCTCTGCAACTGGATCCTGGACTTCCTGACGGGTGGTAAGGGTAGGTAACAACACATCTGCCACACTGATCCTCAACACGGGGGCCCCTCAGGGGTGCGTGCTCAGTCCCCTCCTGTACTCCCTGTTCACCCATGACTGCATGGCCAGGCACGACTCCAACACCATCATTAAGTTTGCCGATGACACAACAGTGGTAGGCCTGATCACCGACAACGATGAGACAGCCTATAGGGAGGAGGTCAGAGACCTGGCCGTGTGGTGCCAGGATAACAACCTCTCCCTCAACATGACCAAAACAAAGGAGATGATTGTGGACTACAGGAAAAAAAAGAGGACTGAGCACGCCCCCATTCTCATCGACGGGGCTATAGTGGAACAGGTTGAGAGCTTCAAGTTCCTTGGTGTCCACATCACCAACGAACTATCATGGTCCAAACACACCAAGACAGTCGTGAAGAGGGCACAACAAAGCCTATTCCCCCTCAGGAGACTGAAAAGATTCGGCATGGGTCCTCAGATCCTCAAGATATTCTACAGCTGCACCATCGAGAGCATCCTGACTGGTTGCATCACCGCCTGGCAAGGCACTACAGAGGGTAGTGCGTACGGCCCAGTACATCACTGGGGCCAAGCTTCCTGCCATCCAGGACCTCTATACCAGGCGGTGTCAGAGGAAGGCCCTCAAAATTGTCAAAGACTCCAGCCACCCTAGTCATAGACTGTTCTCTCTGCTACCGCACGGCAAGCGGTACCGGAGTGCCAAGTCTAGGTCCAAAAGACTTCTCAACAGCTTCTACCCCCAAGCCATAAGACTCCTGAACAGCTAATCATGGCTACCCAGACTATTTGCACTGCCCCCCCACCCCATCTTTTTACGCTGCTGCTACTCTGTTAATTATTTATGCATAGTCACTTTAACTCTACCCACATGTACATATTACTTCAACTACCTCAACTAGCCGGTGCCCCCGCACATTGACTCTGCACCGGTACCCCCCTGTATATATAGCCTCCCTACTGTTATTTTATTTTACTTCTGCTCTTTTTTTCTCAATACTTTTTTGTTGTTGTTTTATTTTACTTTTTTATTAAAAATAAATGCACTGTTGGTTAAGGGCTGTAAGTAAGCATTTCACTGTAATGTCTGCACCTGTTGTATTCGGCGCATGTGGCCAATAAAATTTGATTTGATTTGATTTGGGAATTATTTTGTACTATGGCCTATTTATTGCCTTACCTCCATAACTTGCCACATTTGCACACACTGTATATATATTTTCTGTTGTATTTTTGACTTTATGTTTTGTTTTACCCCATATGTAACTCTGTGTTGTTGTTTTTATCGCACTGCTTTGCTTTATCTTGGCCAGGTCGCAGTTGTAAATGAGAACTTGTTCTCAACTGGCTTGCCTGGTTAAATAAAGGTTAAATAAAAATAAAATAAAAAATGTTCAAGACAAAAGAGTGAAGTGCCTTTGAATGGGGTATGGTAGTAGGTGCCAGGCGCACCGGTTTGTGTCAAGAACTGCAACGCTGCTGGGTTTTTTTCACGCTCAACAGTTTCCCGTGTGTGTCAAGAATGGTCCAACACCCAAAGGACATCCAGCCAACTTGACACAGCTGTGGGAAGCATTGGAGTCAACATGGGCCAGCATCCCTGTGGAACGCTTTCGACACCTTGTAGAGTCCATGCCCGACAAATTGAGGATGTTCTGAGTGCAAAAGGGGGTGCAACTCAATATTAGGAAGGTGTTCCTAATGTTTTGTACACTCAGTGTATATACCCATTGAAAACAAATTGCAGATTGTGGCTTTAAACCCCAAACTCCTATATCTTTCCGACCCAATAAGAACTCTGTCAGCCTCCTCGTGTTCCTTTCATCCAAACGTCAGTCTTTTGTCTCCCACACCTGTTTGAAGGTTCATGTCGGCACCAGAGCCCTTGGCTGCATCCCAAATGGCACCCTACTTCTAATATAGTACACTACTTTTGATAGGGCTCTGGTCAAAAGTAGTGTACTAGATAGGGAATAGGGTGCCATTTGGGATGCAGCCCTTGCCTTGTTTGAAGACCCTGTGTGTGGTTTGGATTGTACTGACAGAAGTTGCTGATCTAATGTCATTCTATACCTCAAGACTTTGTTGTCTGGTAGATTTTTACTTTTTTTTTCTCCTCCTCCTCCCTGCCAGTTTCCTTTCTTTTGACTTGACGTTTCTTTTGAAGTACATGTGCTACTGATAATTGAAGCAATACATCCCACTGAAGATAATATACAGATGTAGGATCTTAATTTGAGCCAGATTGCTAAAGCAGGAAAATAATCCTGCAGCAACAGGATTATAATTCATGGAGATTTTTGTAGGGGTTTATACATTTTTCGTACGGGACAATCAAATCTGACATTTCTAAGTGGAAATTACAAACTTCAGAAGACTTTTTAAACCTCAAATACACTACAAGTTTACATTTCCTGCATTGCAGGAAAGTTATTCGCGAACAGGTTGATCAAATTTAGATCCTACATCTGTACGGCACTCATTTAATGGATTTCAAAGTGAAACCTTAAAGTGAAAGCTTAACTTGTTCTTTCATGGCCTGGAACCCTTATCCATCTTGATATGATACTGAGTTGAAAGTGTAGAGGCATGTCACCACTATGCATTTTTATTGTATAGTGAAGTTGGCCAAATCACACCTGAAGATATCTCTTGTGAAATTACACTCAACTGACTGATCACAGTGTGTATGACATTTGGAAGCATGGTATTCTTTGATCTTTGACCCAGGGTCATATGGATCAGGGTTTCCCAAAGTCGGTCCTGGTTGGTTTTTGCCCTAGCACTACACAGCTAATTTAAATAATCAAAGCTTGATGATGGGTTGGTTATTTGAATCAGCTGTGTAGTGCTAGGGCAAAAAACAAAAAGTGCGCCCAGGGGGGGCCCCAGGACCTACTTTGGGAAACCCTGATATAGACCATAATAATGAACAAACCATATGCCTAATCCTAAATTTCTTCTCTCTCTCTGTCTCTGTCTCTCTGTCTCTCTGTCTCTCTCTCTGTCTCTGTCTCTCTGTCTTTGGCCCCCAGGTGAGAAGGTGACCATGTTTCCTGTCCTGGACATTGACCAGAACGACATCGTGGACACTAACGGAGCAGGAGATGCCTTTGTGGGAGGTGCAGTACACTAGTCTGTCTCCTTCCTGGTTTCTCTCTAGTTTCTGCCAATAATCCTCTCCACAGCATGTAGATAGATTCCCAATTAACCAATTATATTCCCATGTTCCCTATTTCTTTGATACATCTCCAGGGGAGTTCTGATTGTCTTATAGGGGTGCCCAGCTCTCCCTAGCCCCCCTGTAATTCAAACCATTCTGTCAAATGTTATATTGAGAAGTGACACTATAATAAACGTTTCTTCTCTGCTCTATTCTTTTACTGACCCCTGACCCTTGCTTCTCGCCTCTCTCTCCTCCCAGGCTTCCTGTCAGAGCTGGTCCAGGAGAGGCCGTTGGAGGAGTGTATCCGTGCGGGCCACTACGCAGCCAATGTCATTATCAGACGGGCAGGATGTACCTTCCCTGAGAAACCTGACTTCCCTTGATGTATCCAACCATTATCCCCCAACCACAAATGTATTTTCCTTACCTTACAAACACCTGCAGTAAGCTGTGTGTATGTATGTGCCTCAAAGTGTGTGTGTAAAGTTTGTTTAAAGTTTACAATAATTCCATGGATATAACTGGTCAACAACATTGTCGCTATGTGTTGTAACTTAACTTGAATACATTTTTGTGAAGTAAATTGCTGTGAGATTATCGATCATCAGTGATTCAATTTGCTTTAGTAGATTACTTTTTAATCAACTTTCTAAACAACACTCCAAACAACACTCCACTTTCTATGCGCCATCTGTCAGTTTAAAACCACTAAATATTAACTCTCATTTAACTCTCTTGACTGTCTTGGCTTTGCTATTAAAAGGTTACGATGTCCAATACTAAGGACCAGGAGTTTTTCCTCGCCAGGTCAACAAGTGGTCTAGAGAAAATCAGTAATGTAGAACTGTCTGAAATGTGGAGTTTGATATTATTATTCCTTTCTTAAATGTTTACTGAAGACTCTGAATAAAATGGTATGTTGCCAAGTTCGTGTTGCCATGACGCAGATAATTGTTCATTAAAACAACAGGCGTGGGTGGTCTGTCAAATGTTCCTTGAGTTCAAACAATGCCTTCACACCACATTTCCAAAGCCTTGAAGAAGTAAAGCAACAGATGCATAACGAGTTTGACTGTTACCATAATACCAAGCTGTGTATATCTTTCACCCATTCTAACCACTTTCCGATGAATGATTGAAGGTGTGGTTGCAGCAAGCTAATCAGTTTTGGTCCTGACTACTGTATTGGAAAACATGATGGGAAAACAGCTAAACCTCCATCATTAGCAAAATGGGGTCCAGGGCAGGCCAGATCCAGCCCCAAGCCTGGGTGTCCTGGTGTCGTAGTACAGACCACAGAGCTGGGTAATCTCCACAGGGTTTGTGGGGTTCTAACTGGATTCTCCCAGACTCCCGGATCTCTATTAATACGTCCGAAATGGCACCCTATTCCCTACATAGTTCACTACTTTTGACCAGAGCCCTATGGTCTCCCTATGGGCCCTGGTCAAAAGTAGTGAACTATATAGGGACTGAGGTGCCATTTGGGACGATGGCTCCACGGCTGCTGGAGGTCGTTTCTCTCAATTATGGGATTAGTGGTGCCTCGTCATGGTGATCATTAGAGAGCCCTGGAAATTAGGCTGATCCCCCTCCCTGCACCCAGCTGGCTGATTCCCCCCCCTGCACCCAGCTGTGCTGTCGCCGGGTGTTGGATAGGGGAGACAAGGATCACCGAGAGGCCCCAGACTGTCCCTTCCTCCCTCCAGGCATGGGGGGCCACAAGTAGTGGATAATGGGGATTGAGAGAAATTGGGTTAAGTGCCAAATGGCACCTTATTCCCTAGATTATGTACTACTTTTGACAAGAGACCATTTTTCTTAAACGACTGTATCCATTTATTTTTGCCTCCCTAATAAGGTTCTGGTCAAAAGTAGTGCACTATATAGGGAATAGTTTCTGAGCCAGTACTACACTGCTCCTTTAACAGGAGTAGATACAAACTGTAGCCTATAACCTACACTATTATCATAGACTGAGGTCAAAATTCGCCTATGGCCCATATAACTGTGAAACTGAAAAACTGAAATACAAAAACACATTATGCAATATCCCATTATCATATTGTGTATAAATAATACTACAGAACGCAACCTGTTTGCATATATTTTTCCTTTAATTTATAGGCTCATTAAATGTGAAGAGTGATCCTATTCAAACACCTCTTATGCAAAGGGGTGTAGATCCATTTAATGATGCTGGGTTTATGCGTTTATGCTAATCAGGGGCATCTAGGTGAAAACAGGCTCTAGCCAAAATGTTATTAACAACTTTGAGACACTTTTTTCATCAGCGTTTTAAGGTTTCACACAGATGCGCTTTGAAAAGGACCACGTTTCTGATTGGCAGAGATCACACTCCGTAGCAGCTGCTTCATTTGCTTCTCAACTTGACAGATGGCAAAACACAAACACAAAGAATGCGTGACAAATGGCACCCTATCCTCTATTTCGTGCACTACTGGACAAAGGTAGTGCACTAAATAGAGAATAAGGTGCGATTTTGGACGTAGGCAAAAAGATGGAGCCATGATTAAGTAATGAGAATAAGGAATTCTGCGTCGTTTACCGCGATAAGGAAAACTGTTAACCACAGTTTTCTACCGTGCTTTACTTCATTTTAAAGTGTAAGAACAGTAGTTTAACATTTTACGGATGTGTCATTGTCTCTGTCACAACAACTAACTGGCAAGGTCCCCGGTTTCTCCCTTGGGCTGTGCGATACCCAAGTCTGAATTCTACCGACTTCTAATGTTCTTAATTTGTACATATACAGTGTTAAATTAGATCAGAGTTGCTAGAAGAACATATGGCGTTGGCAAATTTGGACATCATTTTAGAGTTATATTGTCAAAGAAAGAACACAATTCGTATGTCTGGTATTTACCCTCATTCATCACCATACATCCCTTCTCTGATTGCGTGAAAAGCAAAAGCAGAGTGTGTCTGCATCCTAAGAGCACTATATAGGGAATAGGGTGCAATTTGGGGGAGACTCTACAGGGCCCTGGTCAAAAGTAATGCACTATATAGGAAATAGGGTGCCATTTGGGACAAAACGAATGAGGCCTTGGTCAAAAGTGGTGCCCAACATAGGGAATAGGGTGCCATTTGGGACGCGTTTTGACTGACTGGGGACGTAGCCAGAGCAGACCAGACCAGTGTTTTGCCCCGCAGATGGGCAGCAGTGTTGCTGAACAGCACTGGGGTGGCAGTTGGCAAGGATTGAGAGAGAGAGAGGAGAGATGAGGGGATGGTCAGACTGTGGATGGCACGTGCTCCAAGAGCGTCCCAAATGGCACCCTATATCAGTTTCCCAACTCAAGTCCTCCAGTACCCCCAACAGCACACATTGTAGCCCCAGACAAACTCACCTGATTCAACTCATTGAGGGCTTGATGATTATTTGACAAGTTGAATCAGGTGTGCGTGTCTGGGCTACAACAAAAATGTGTCCTCCATTGTGCCGAGCCTGGTCCTGGGGGCATGGAGGATTTTGGCGTGGTTCGAACGTAGGGTGCGTGGAGGTTCATTGGGGGAGAGAAGGTCTGACAGGTAGGCGGGTCCGATGCCATTTAGGGCATTGTAAACAGGAGGACAATTGTATAGTCAATTACTTGAGGAACAGGTAGCCAATGGAGATCAGCAAGGATGGGGGTGATGTGCGCAGACTTTGTTTGTGCTAGAATCCTTGCGACACTGTTTTAGATGAGCTGTAGTTTATGAATTACATTTGGAGTCAGGCCCCCAGAACTGCGTTCCCATAATAAATTCTGTATAAAATAAATGTATGGATTAGTTTTTCTGCGTCAGATGTGGTGAGAGAGGGTCTTATGCGGGAGATGTTATTCAGGTGAAAGAATGACGTTTTACAGACGTGACTAATGTGGGCATTGAAGGAAAGAGCAGTGACGAATTTCACACCCAAATTAGTGTAGGCAGCAGCTGTAACATCTTGAGGTTGTTGATGGATCATTTCCATAATATGATTGAATCATACTGTTGATTAATTGTTGTCCATTTAATAGACTATGATTCTTTGTCCTCTTGTCTGTCTTCCATTAAAACGATATAGGTTTTTATTGTGTTGTGACAAACAGAATCAATATTATTTTTTGTAGGTATCATTATTCATAACGATTTTATGTTATGATCATAATCAAGGACTTGATGTCTTCATTATATTAGGATTGGGTCAATTTGACAATCCCTCTGCAAAAATACCTATCCAGCTGGTTCTATGATCAGAAGATGCTGGGAAACAAGGTGGCCCAATAGGCTGCATTATCTAGGAAGTTATTCCAGGATAACGGCAATTAATGCCAATGTCAGTTTGTACACTAGCTATGCAAGTATTATGCCACTCGCAGAATACAGCCCTGGATGTGTTTCAAAAACATGTTTTTTAATCTTCCCATGCACATCCCGGGACATTTTAATGTGAAAAGTGAAAGTGACATTACATTTGCCGCTATGATCATTGTGGAAGCGCTACTGCTACAGGGGCGACGGTCTGCTCCACTTCACTGACTGAAGTAGGGATGTCTACAGTGAAGAAGAAGGGGGAGGGAGGTACCACTTTGTCACAGGCTGCTATGTAGATTAACCTTTCAATTAGTTGTTATCAGGTCCTCTCTGTCTCAGCGCGAGCCTTCAGCGAATCGTTTAGAGATTAAAAATACAAGAAAACCCCCCTATGGATGTGCCGCTGTGAGTGTGATTATTTATATCCGATCGTCGTTTCAGTCATCGTGTTAATGAAGAAGAGGACTGTATCCGATAAAGAAAACTTGAAGAGGTAACTACCAGCAAATATTTACGGTAGCTAACCGATGCCTTTTTCTCTCACTGGTTACATGTTCATCCTTGCATAAAACTTGCGTAATTTGTTTTGCCTCCTTGCCCAGCGTCGGAACATTTTGTAAACGATCTGGCCTACATTTCAAGGAGGCTGTATATCACCGACTAATAATGTGTAAACGAGAATGGACCTGCGAGTCGAGTGAGAAATGGATGGATCGTGAAACTGTAGCGATACATTTATTATTGAGGCACGGTGAAGATGCTGCTACTCCGATTACCTGGGTCAACTACTCCGTTTGTAGGATATGTGGAATTCCCCCCCCATGTGTTTATTTTCTAGTCGGAAATGCAGTGCAAGATAATACCGATAATAAGTGTTGTCATGATTTACATGGTAGAATGTTGATGATCGCTGTAGGCTAACGCAGGCAGGCACTCGTGCTATGTAGAGAAATTCTACCGCTTGATGGATAAGAAATCCTGAAGGATTATTTATAGTGTGTCCTATTTATTATGATGTAGCCCACCTATAAACGTTTGGTAACCTACATGAGTTGGTGAAAACTGAAATCAGTGAATT